CACTCATTGTTGGAGACACGTTTTCACAACCACACAGCGGCAAACAATACCGCATGAGGGGCTACCTAAATTGCGTCACCGAAGCATGTGTCTACTTACTTAAGTGTCCATGTGGCCTTGTCTACGTGGGCAAGACCATGGGACCATTCCAGTGACGGTTTCAAAAACATCGCAGCGACATTAGAATTGCGATCACTAAGACCACAGCCGGTGCTACTCCAGATCTGAACAAACCGGTGGCTGTCCACTTTACCAATCTTCGACACCAGACCGACGAGTTACGTGGGATGGTTATCGAACATGTGGCATCATCACATAGGGGTGGGAACCATGATAGGTATCTTCTCCAACGAGAAGCCTACTAGTCCACACACTAGATACCACCATACCAAGGGGCCTCAACACAAGCCTCACGCTAACGTGCTTCTTACCAGATCGCTAACGCAAATTTATCAGGGCATGACGTACCATATGGTTGAACATGTTTTTTCTTCCTTTCCCCCATGGGTGGCCCTACCGCCACAGCTAGGGCTGGATAACTTAGCACTCACAATTAGAATGGTGTCTTTATTTCTCTTCCTTTTTTTGCCTTTGATCCGACCTATTTTCCCGCCTATATGTTGCTCCGCTCCTTGTTATGCACCACATACGTGCCCAGGCGTTCTGCTCTATGGGATCACATATGTGTCGGATGATGCTCTTGATTGCATATCTATTGCTTATAGTTTATCATGCATATGTCATGCGCTGTCTTGAATATGAAGATGCCCCAGTTTTATATTAATTTTGATTATGTGCACGTTGCTCCGGCCAGGAGAAATGCTTGCGTCTGATCGCACATGTTCACATATCTCTGTGACCAATTTCTGTCCAGTACATGTAACGTTGGAGTACCCTCGACCCAGGCCCCAGCATGGAGCTACCCTGCGAGGCTACATCCAAACATGTACAGTGTGATTATCTATATGCCACCTATGTGTGCCGGTCACCCCTAGCTGTGCACACGTGTGCCTATCACAATTACCCCGTGCCTTTCTGTACATGCCATACACTCTCCCAGTGCCTTAGCCCCTATTGCGAGCGGCACTACACTTAGAATGGAGACAGCGGTGGCCGTGACAGCAGCGTCCCGCTGCTGCCATGGCAACCAATGACGCGACCGGCACTATGCCCCGCCCCCCGAACGCGATCGGCCTATCATTGCGGGACAGGTTACATCCTTATAAGTGCCAGTCACTCCTTGCCCTACATACATGCACCTGTCACGTAGGGCAACAAGGCACTCTCCCAGCGCCCTAACACTATACTTAGAGCTATGACTGCAGCAGCCGTGACAGCAGCATCCCGCCGCTGTTATGGCAACTGATGACGCGGCCGGCGCTACGCCCCCCCTGGACGCACTCGGCCTATCACTCCAGGGCACATACCCAATGACAACTAGGGGTGCGGCCTGAACATGACAAACACTAGCGCTCCAGCGACTGGCCACGCCCCCCGATTTTCAGATCTGTGTCCCTGGAACAGCTGCCTTGCAGCCGTTACACAGACACATAGCCCTAGCATCAGCACGGCACGATTCTTATCTTTACAGACACTGCATCACCCGGCTCTGGCTGCATCGACATAATACATCTTATAACTATGTTTTGAGCAACCCTCACATGTTTACAGTAACACTGTACTTTGAATTATGGCAGGAAATGACGTCATAGGATCACTTTCGGGCAATGGGATTGGTCTCCTCACATACAATGATGTGTATAAATACTTGTCCATATTGCTTGTAATTCTCACTTGTTCTGCCTGATGAAGGGGATCCTGTGTGACCCCGAAACGTTGCAATAAGTTTTTTGTTGCATGAAACGTCAATAAAATACATTATTGTACTTTGGAGTGCCGGTGTCTATAATTTCCTATACTCTATTCAGACGTTGGCCATCCGTCGACTACTGACGCACCCAACCTATCATTACGGATTAGCGGTAAGGAGTGCAATGGGTACACGGATTGTTTCTGCAAGGTCTAGGTGACATGGCAGAGACCTGTGGCGGGAAGTTCTCACACAGACACGCCGTGGGGCTCTGCAAGGTCTAGGTGACATGGCAGAGACCTGTGGCGGGAAGTTCTCACACAGACACGCCGTGGGGCTCTGCAAGGTCTAGGTGACATGGCAGAGACCTGTGGCGGGAAGTTCTCACACAGACACGCCGTGGGGCTCTGCAAGGTCTAGGTGACATGGCAGAGACCTGTGGCGGGAAGTTCTCACACAGACACGCCGTGGGGCTCTGCAAGGTCTAGGTGACATGGCAGAGACCTGTGGCGGGAAGTTCTCACACAGACACGCCGTGGGGCTCTGCAAGGTCTAGGTGACATGGCAGAGACCTGTGGCGGGAAGTTCTCACACAGACACGCCGTGGGGCTCTGCAAGGTCTAGGTGACATGGCAGAGACCTGTGGGGGGAAGTTCTCACACAGACAGAAAGTTCTGCCATGACACCTAGATGTTACAAAGACCCACGGTGTGTCTGTGTGAGACACCCCTATACACAGACCACCATGGGTCTCTGCTATGTCACAGACCTGGCACCACTGCCAGGTCTATGGGTGCAGTTGATACCAGGGAGCTGACATATTTGGTTATGCACAAGATCTGGGAAACTGCCTTCTGAGATGTATGAAGTACACATCCCAGGAGGCAGCAGGTGGCTGGACTACGTTATCCTATCTAGGCAGGGATTCGGGACCTATAATGAAATTAAAAAGAGGTATTTACTGTTTAAGTTAAAAAAAAAAGAAATCTGCAACTGTGTAAGAAGAGGAAGGAGGCAGGTGAAAGGTGATGGTCTGCTTGAACCTAGAAAGATGGATGACAATTACCCCAGCCAGGACATACAATCATAATGTAAATCTTCTCTTTCCATAAGCTGACACTGTACACATTGATAACAGTGGATTCGTGTTTACAAGCATTGGCATTGTGTCCGCCCTGTCAAACAGATGGCGGCGCACACTCCTCCCTCCCGCCTACCATCCTCGGCTCGGACAAGCCTTCCCGCCAAAGCCTGTGCATGGACGAGGCGCGCTCAGGTGACGGAGTGCTGGCGCGCCAGGACGTGCTCGCTGATTGGTTGGTTCTGTCAGGGGTTGTAGGGGGACCACATCGGTGTCACCGAGAAGCGGTCCCCCTTGAGGTGTAGGAGTGCGGAATACACCTGTAGGCCGATGATTAGGGGAAGAGCCTGGCGGGGCCCTAGAGCGGGTGAGTGTAGAACACGCAGGGCACGGCTATAGGAGAAATACCGGGTACGGTAGACAGCTAGGCTGAAAGAGATACCCCGGCCGTAGATGTTTTGGCTGTGGGGGACAGTCTGACTGTGAGAGACGTCCTGACTGTGGATGACAGCCTTACTCTGAGAGACTACTGACTGGGGGACAGCCTGACTCTGAGAGACTACTGATTTGAGAGACGTCCTGACTGCGGGGGACAGCCTTACTTTGAGAGACGTCCTGACTGCGGGGGGGCAGCCTTACTTTGAAAGGCGTCCTGACTGTGGGGGACAGTCTTGACTCTGAGGGTCATCTGGTTATGGGGGTACATCCTGGCTATGGAGGTCAGTCTGACTATGAGAGATGTCCTGGCCATGACGGCACTGGTCTGCGCACATATACAATGTTCTGTAGTGTGCAGGTTTATTGATCAGTGTAACACATTGTAATGTCTGAGTACACATGTATGACAGGCATATAATGCACCCTAATGACTATGTAGATGTTGTTTTGCAGTCTCTGCTAGATTATCTATTTGGAGAGCTGAAGAGCATATATGAAGGAAGATCACATTGTACTTTTTTACTACTTTACCCCCCCCCCCCC